ACACTCAGCTACTGGCAATAATGACAAATATTTAATCTGAGCAACTTTATATCATTGACAGAGATGGAAGAGCTGCATTGTGTTTGAATATGAAAACAGGGATAGATAGATAGATAGATAGATAGATAGATAGATAGATAGATAGATAAATAGATAGATAGATAGATAGATCGATCGATCAGTGGCAACAACTCACCGCATGATGTAGTCTATAAAATGCAATTACATGCCTTAAAATGTAAGATATTGGGGCAAAAAATTTGTATTAGTTTGTGTCTCATAATTTTAACATATAGGCCTAATAGTACAGTAAATAAGAAGTTAATGTTGTATTATATATTAGTTAGGCTACAATACTGTCTGCTCAGTTTTGCCAACGAAATTACCTATAAATCCATAGCAGAACTGTTGTGCATCTCCGAGCAACACACAGCGGTGATTTGTTACTGAATGAATCTGCGTTTTGAACAAATTGTGTGAACCACTGATTCAATGGCCAATTCATAAGGAGAGCCATTTACTTCATTCCTGAATGAATCAGCAGTTTGAACGAATTGAATTAATAAATGACTAAAGACATTTACCACCACCTACTGGCAGTTTTAGTTTCTCATTTAGAGTATCATTTCATTAAAATAAATTAAATACAAAATAAAGCGATAGTTCACGCAAAAAAAATAAATAAATAAATAAAATAAAATAATCTGTCATCATTTACTCACACTGGAACATAAAAGAAAATAATAAAGAATGTTGGTAACCAGAAGAAAAAGAATGTTGTTGACTTTCATTGTATGAACAAAAGTAGCTACTGAGATGTTTTTCAAATTATCTTCTTTTATGTTCCAAAGTTTATGTTATAGGCCATTGTAGCCCAAGTGTTTATGGTTTAATAGATTTTGTTGAATCAAATAAAATATTTCTTTCTAAAGCTACTTTTTGTAATATATTTGATATTTTTCTCATTTAAAACAATAATGGCTTTAAATTATATTTTGGAGGTCATTTCACAGCCAAATTTAATTTTGCGGTTAATTCAATTAATGAATCGCCACATCATGTAATTAATTAGATTAAAAATTTGAATTGACTGACAGCCCTATTCAGAATATTTATGCCAAATTAACTTGCTGATGTCTGTATGGATGTTTCTGGATGTTATAAATCTACAGTAAAGTAGTTGCGTAATGATTTTAATTATTGTTCATTCTTGATTGCATCCTGCCTCTTTAATCATCTCTGTTTCTTTAGACTAGACTTGTCCTGAGCTTTTGTCATCTTTTCTCCCCCAGACAAGTTTAAACAAGCTGTTTAATCTTTAATAAGGCTGCACACACACTGGCAAGATTAATCGCCTATATGTTTTAATATTTTAATGTGTTTAATGTGCACAACAGGGTCCATGGTAAGACATATTAATCTTTCATAATGTGTTGCTTCTAAGTGATGCTTAAGTCTGTTAGTTTTTTGAAAATGATTAAGAAAAAAATGCAAAAAGGAAATGTATGACACCAGATATTGAACATAAATGGCAGGCTTGAAATAAAACTTTAGCTAGATGAAAGAATTGACCATCATTCATATGACTTCAAGGTTGAATATAACAACAAGCTCATCTAAATTCTTTATATTTGGATGACCTCTGCTACACAAACTCTTAAAATGATCAAAAATGTTTGAGGCAGTTGAGAAGTCAGCAACACAATTAGGTTTAGCAAAATGCAGAAGCTCAATCTGGACATGCAGACATGACTTTCGGTGTATGTACAAGGCTGAGAAATTACAGCTATAAATAAAGGGAAAGAAAAGTGTCACAGAATTCTCACAGAATAGGTTCCTGTAACCAAAATAGCATAGACAACAGACAGACAGACAACTTCAAGGTTGAATATAACAACAAGCTCATCTAAATTCTTTATATTTGGATGACCTCTGCTACACAATCTCTTAAAATGATCAAAAATGTTTGAGGCAGTTGAGAAGTCAGCAACACAATTAGGTTTAGCAAAATGCAGAAGCTCAATCTGGACATGCAGACATGACTTTCGGTGTATGTACAAGGCTGAGAAATTACAGCTATATATAAAGGGAAAGAAAAGTGTCACAGAATTCTCATAGGTTCCTGTAACCAAAATAGCATAGACAACAGACAGACAGACAGACATGATAGGCCCCAGTGATGAATTAGTGATATGGGAACATATCACAGTGGCTTTGGCTCTAATTGCTTTAGCCAGAATTACATTTTCTTCAGGAAATTAAATTGAGCCATGGATCACCTTATAGCAATAACCGAAAAGAGATTCATTAATGTTATTGATGTGGCCAAAACTATGCAAATGAAGAAATGGACCTAAACTCACAGAACAGTATTGACAGAGATCAGGGGAAAATATTTTGTCAGTTCAGTCAAGAACTGTATGCAGCACTGCCTTTACATCTCTACAGTTTACAAAATATTCCCATCCTATTAAGGCAATAAAATGATATTCCTGGCACTAGAACAGACTAGACCCATATTGGCATACATCAATAGGGTTCAAATGAAAGGGTGCACTTTGTATTTGATCCAGTCGTTTCATCTTCAGATTCCCCTGTCCTTCACCTCCATTCCTTTATGTCTCTGACTTGCTTTCCCTTTGTTGGCAGAAATATTCTGTTTAATACAGAGCTGCACCTAGGCCACAGAACAGACTGCAGTCTTTCAACTGTGAGGTTACCATGGATACCTGTCAATATGACCTGTGCTGTTGATGACAGAGGACATAAAGATTCCTAAGGGATTTGTCAACTTGTCGACATTTAAAAAGACTGTGTCAATTGGGGGAAATAATAATAATAAAAGATCAAACTCTGAGGTCAAACTTTAAGTTGAAGTTCCTTTTTCAATTCCACTTAACATTTATGACATATTAACCATCAATAAGTCTGGTTTAAGGTTGAGGAGAAAAAGAAGTTTCTTTCCACACCGGCAATTCTGTGAGATTTTGAGTAGGTGTGCAGGTTTCCTAATCACCCAGTCTCCAGAGAACAAAGAATAAGTGTGACAAATAGATTTCCACCGGATCTTAATACATGTAAGCCATTCCATCAGAAGGCTAAGTGTGCATATAAATCACAGTCTGGAACTGTAAAGATTACACATTCTGATGAAAGCACTGCACCTTATATCAGTGTTACTGGAATACTTGATCATTACACCAAGTGACAGGCTATGCTTGCCTTGATAGATTGATTAATAACATTCAACCCCAGCTTAAGCATTTTCCAGTGTGCAAGCATGAAATACAAAGGGAAACATGCAAGGCTGATGAAAGGCAAAATGGACATCAGAAAATTGAATCTCACCTCTGCTTTTTCTATGACTAAATGTAATTACAATATTGTCTGACTGTACACAAGATTTGTACTCCATGAAACCATCCACAAGTTGCCTGTTGGCTTTCAATATAAACATTCTTTAGGAAGAAATACATAAAGAAAAACAACTATGACAAAATATTTGGACTAAATTAGAACACAGCTTAAAGTATAAATTACCAAATTAAACTGTAAAAGAAAAGGCTGTTTAAATGCTTTCTGACACCTATTTAATATAAACCAATGAAACATAATAAAAACATAATATTTAACCTGAAACCAAATAAAAAAACCTGAAAACTAATATATATATACACACACACACACACAGTGATTCTGTTTTTTGTTATGACATGACATTGGTGTTATATCTTTCACTTGGATGTTATGGATGCAAGTTGCACTGAGTAAATAAAACAAAAACTGTGTTCATCTTCATTTCAGGCTGCAAAGCAACAAAATGTGATTATTTTAAAGGGGGGTGATTCTTTTCTAAACCCACTGTGTATAAATACATACATACATACAGTTCAATACATATAAATAATATTTATATAATTTGTGTTCATTCCAGGAGTGGCAGTATACAACAAGTGTCAACCAAATCTCAACATGCACATACAAGCAAATTTTTAAAATTACCTGTGAAAATAATTAAAATACAGTAGGATGGGAGCGAAAGCGCTGTGAATATTGGGAATACTGGTTCTGAACGAGGTTTGTGGGAACCATATACTTGTGCTGAACTGACACGAGACAATATCCACCTAGTGGATAAAACGCGCAGTTGCACTTTCTGTTAATTTAGCAAAAAGTACGCATTTCGGAAACTCCTCAAATATTGACGAGGCAATGAACCTCACGCAGTCATACAATACAATTATTGATAAAGAATAATAAATTAACCAAAGGAGTTTGGGGTGATTACATTGATGTAGATAGCCACAAATCAAAATTTTACTTGTTTTACATGAAACTAGCAGGTCAGCAAATGGTGAACTCCAGAAGCATTGAAGATTCTGGGGACTGAATTAAAAATAAAAATACAACATAAGACAATAAGACATAAGAGCTGTTGGACTGGAGTCCAACCTGGGTCATGTACCAATCTCAGACCTGTATTCCTTTTTACACTCCTATAAATAAAAAGCAAAAGTCCCCCAAAATAAAACTGTAATTCATTGATTTATTGATGTGCCTCCTTTAACCAAAAAGTTTTTTTTTTTTTGCCTCAACATATGGACAATTTACATCAGAATCAATTCCTTTCACAGTTGAAAGCATTTCCTGTCATCAGCTACAAAGCCAATTGATATAGAAATAGATTCAAACAAAGTGCAAGCATGGACAATTTTCAAATGGATACACAAGACTAATCCAATGCTGTGGAGTCTGTTTTTTCTTCTGATAACTTGAAAATTCAAAAATACTAAAAATGGCTTCAGAAAACTTACAAAATGCACAAAAAGAACTTACCTTCTCTTACATGATTGGAAAGTCTTGTGCACATAATCAAAACCTTGCTAAACTCTTCAGAATAATTCTTATAGATCTTGATCTAAAACAGGCACTTTTGTTGTAAAAAACAAACAACCCCCCCCCCAGCAGAAACCAGCATTTGACCAAATAATGCAACTATACCACAATTCAGATTTCAAAATAAAAGCTTTTATTATAAAACTATAAGAATTAGGAAAGTTGCTACAGATTTCACCTGCTCCTTTAGAAATGGCACATCTGAGAACCAAATGGTTTGACCGTGATCTTCAGCAATGAAACAGAATATTACACTCCTCTGAACCATTGGCAGAAACACGTCATTCCCATTCTGATGCATAAGTCAGATTTCCACTTTTAAATATTTTTCATATTTTCCAAAGGACCTCCATTCAACATGGTATGATTCAATATAAACTCATATCACGTTTGTAAAGATGCATATTAACACAGACTAAAAACACACTGCTTTAGACTGTGATTGGGTAAAGAATAGATTTTACATAAGTCTGACCAATGCCGCCTTTATGTTAATGGTCACAGCAGCCAAATTAATTTCTTCTTCCAATTAGAGAAGTCTCCATGTGAAATTTTACTGAACGTTAAACTGCACATCCACAACAGCCAGGCAATGACCTCAAAGAGCCACTGCAATAAAACCCTTGCAAAACAGACAGAGACGGATCCATAGGATTGATTTGCCTAGATCAGCAGCCAATAACCGTTATGCAAATAGATTTCAATGTTGGGAGGGAAATATCATCAGTGAGAGCACCAACTTGTAGTCACTGCATTCAAGTCTTGAAAGAGTTTCCCTTAACTGAGCACAGGGCACGGAGAGGATGAAAAAAATCTGTGAAAACAGAGGAGTTTCAGCTAGAACCAATAAGAATATTGGCAAAATCACCACGCAAACAAATAAGAACTAGTGCTCATGCGTTCATATTGTTCCAAATAACCTGAAAAAAAGGAAGATGACAAAAAAATAAATGTCCGAGCTGAAGAAATCTGAATAAAACGGCAATCACTTACATAGCAACAGACACAGCTATTATGGCTGGTTGACCTGTGAAGATCAGCAGCAGTGAATATTTGCACCAAGAGGGTTGGGATGAAAAGTGATTTTAAAAATCATAATACTGTGTTCCTTTTGAACTTTATTTCCTCATAATAACTGAAGGACCTTTATGCTATAACCACACTCCAGCAAGGAGAATGGTTACTTAAAACACCTGTAACAGACATTACAATAAATCCAGCCAACTGCTGCATTCTAACCCCCCCCCCTCCCTTTCTTTAAATTGCATCTCACATCAATGACATTTCAAGCTGTAATGGCCACGTCTGAAATGGTAACAGCGCCCTCTACTGTAACTAATGAGGTAATGTGCACTAAGTGATATGCTCAGGTGTTTTCATGATATGTGATGGTGTTGCTGGGTACCAATGGCACTTTAAACATTTGATACCCCAAAAGCATAACCAAAAACAACCAAACAATGACAACAATTTACCCAAAGATTCCCCATGTGAAAATGGATTCCCCATTTCTTCCCAGTAGATTTAAAGAAACACACGATTAGCTTAATATACTTATTTGGAGAACTTCTGTTCCACTGTCAGTGTTAAAAACACAGTCCCTCCTCACAAACACACACCAGCACTGTAGTGCCTCTCTTTAAGTTGAAATACTTTCGACTTTGAAGATCTTCCGATATACACCCAGTACAAAAATCCAGTCGCTCCTGATTTAATATTGATCGACAAGACTGTCAAACCAGATTCATGTAACTGATAAATCCCAGCTGAGGTAGGTGTCCAGAGAGTTCAGCTGCAGAGCGAGATTAAAAATAAAACATGAGCAGCCAATGGGATGAGCCTGCAGTGCAACCAGAGGAGGTGGAAATCGCTGTCAATCAGTCCAACAAGAAGAATCAGAGGCTATCTGAGCCCGGCTCTTGAGGTCATCCACTCTAAACCTTGACACAGCCTGAAACACACACACACACACACACACACGTTCAGTAGGGATGCACCAATAGTACAATTCTAGCCAGTATGATAAAATGTTTACATACGTGATAAACTATTTACACATCATGGTCAATATTAAAATTCTACACCAGTGCCTATGAAATTTAAAAATAAAACATTTAACAGCTAAACTAAGAGTTTTAAAAGCTACAACTCAAAGCATCAAGGTATTATAAATGTACAATGTATGATAAATGGATATTCATTTTGAGTTTTTCTATAGATTACATTTAACAAGGTTATTAAATTATTCATGTTTTAAGCACATTCTAAGCAGAACAATCAAGGCTACTGAGATTTTTCAGAAGTACTATATTTATTAATCTATTTATTTTTACAGGTAAAACAATTTTAATTTTAACTGTCTGACCTTTTTGGGATTATTGTACTTATCCCAGGCAACGTGCCTGTGGTGACAATTCTTCAAAATAATATCACTTTGCTTCTTGCTTGTTTTCATCCAGTGAGTAGCGCTAAAAGCATTAGCTTTATCCAAAACAGATGAATGTAAATCTGGCAACTTTTATTATGTTTGTTATTATACGTGTCGCGTAAGCTCGGAAATGAAATGTCCGAAATGTGAGTGGCAATAAAAGATAAATACCCTATTGTGTTTGAAAATAACATACCACCTACACTAAACCTGACCAATAGTGTCAACAAAACCAAACATGAGATAAAAACACATTTGCTAAAACAACCATGCCATTTTAGATTGCTGCAAAGTTTTTGAGCTCTTTCATTCTGACTTATGATTTACATGACTTGTAGCCGAGCATTGTAAGTGCAGTGCTGTAATAGGTGAACTACGAAGCAAGTTTACTTTACTCAGAAAAACCTCATGCATCTGGTGTTGATTACGTGTAGGGGTGGGAGATATAGCCTCAAAATTATATCATGATATTTCAAGAATATTTGCGATAACGGTATTTATGGCGATATAGGAAAAAAACATGGAACAACATTTTATTGGTGATTGCAGCTTCCAGCGGAGCCGCGGCACGTTTCAGAAGCGTCCCAAAAGCAATGCAAAAATTTATACCGGTATTATCGTGGACGGTATGATATGGCACACCCCTAGATGCAAACATCAAAATATATTAGTTTACAAATAATGCACTATGGTAAAAGTCTTTTGAGGTCATAACATGGCATTCAGTGTTTCCCACAGGATTTTTTGAGACTGTGGTGGGTGGTCCTCGATCCCTCTAGGGGGGTCCGGCCCCGGGGGCATGCCCCCCCTTAGGAAACTTTTGTACATTTTGAGAGTTCAAAATTAAGAGCTTTTAAATTAAGAGGTTCAGTGCGCAAAGTAAAAGAAAAAAGCTGGTGAATGTACTTGTTCTTGAAATTTAAAGGAGACTCAACCCTCTTTTTAGTTGTGATATAGTGTCTCAGTCTCACTGGTGAATTTGGAAGCCAAACAAATTAGAATAAAACAATAATAATAATAATAATATTTTATATTATTATTCCTATGACACTTATAGCCATATATTGTAAAACAATTGCACTGTGAAATAAATAAAAAATGTTTTTTTTTTTCAGGTATATTATTTTACCTTACTCTACTGTAGGGAAA